CTGCTGTTGGCAGACCTGGTCCTCATGTCTTCATCACAAGTCCATGGCATAGATACGTCAGCTGCTCCTAAAATGACCCTTCAGTTTTTAAGGCGTTATCAGATATCAAAGAATTTCATAACAGTGAAAGTTGTATGGCAATTTATGCAATGGGTTTCCTTTCTATCCTGAAAACAGTCTAAATTATTATATCATATAATTGCAAAATACGAAATGTTTGATAAATTGCACTGTCCAATATACTAACGTCACGCCTAATTTTAAAACAAAATCCAGTCTAAGTCTAAATAACATTTACCATGGCTTGGAAGGTGAAATGAAGGCAGTATTGTGGCAAACTGAATAACTTTTATCTCATATATAATGTATTTCTGGCCAGAGTGCAAAAGACTGTTTCATTTGGTTGTCTTTTTACGAGAATTTGACATAAGTATGTTGACTTGAGAATGAGTCACTTGGCACAACAATTTGAGCCTCGGGAACATTTGTTGAAGTAACACACAAGTGAATGTTGCCATGCTGACCACATCATACTTGATTTAGTACTATTGCTGCATGTGCATAAAACTGTATCCTTCAGAGTCGCCTCTGTAGATATCCAGCTTTTTGTGCTGGAATGCTAGCAATCAGTTAGTTTGAAGCTTAAATGATTCAACTCATGCACTTTTTCTTTCAAGAATTGAAGATTTTGTTAAATTATGTTGACTGCTTTGGTAATTTCTGCAGCTAAACGTGGTTATATTAGGAACAACAGTAATGATGGTTGAAACTTGGATTGGCCACTGTTGAAACCTGCCAAAGTGCACTGAAATATTCACTGCTTGTGTTTGATAAATCTAAACTGATCCTATCAGCACGGACCATCCATCCTTTGAAACATTTGCAAATTATCTATTCATAGAATTATAGCATCTCATTGTCTTGCTGGCATTTTTAATGAAAACTTGCGTAGCAATGCCAGTAAATAGCCCTCAGATACAATATGGTTCATTGTTCAAGATTCACATGACTTATTTTCATGCAGATTTATACATTAATCGTCAGTGTTTGTCACAATACTTTTACACTTTTCCCAACCAACTGAATGCATGCTCTGAATCCATCATGGAAGGGGCCTGTACCAAAAGACTGAGATAATGCTCACTAGTTTTGGGATGTTAGACATCATCTTCTAGCAGTATTCTTGCCTCCGAGCCAGAAATGTAAAGGAAAGAAGGGATCATGCCTTCAGAGACTTCAGTTAACTTTGACTCGTGTACCATGCTACCATTCCAATACAATAATTAGAGAGTTTTTTTGCTTTCTTTGTTCATGGGATGTGGACATTGCTGGCAAGGCCAGTATTTATTACCAATCCCAAATCCCCAGCTGGCAAAGGTGGTGCTGAGCTGCTGCCTTGAACAGCTGCATTCCTTTGCATGTCAGGAAACTCTGTGCTGGTAGGCAGAGATTTCTAGGATTTTGACCTAACAGCAGTGAGACAACAGCAATATGGGTCCAAGTCTGAATGGTGTGTGTCGGAGGGATCTTGCGGTTGGCCATGTTCTCGTGTACCTGCAACCCTTTTCAGAGGTGGTATTGGTTGGGAGGAACCTGTTGGAAGAGCCTTGGTAAATTACTTCTGTGCATCGGGACCAAAAGGAACGAAGTAGAAAGTGGTGGATGAGGTGCCAATCAAGCAGGATGCTTTATCCTGGATGATATCAAGCTGCTTGAGTGGTGTTGGAACTGTGCCTTGTAGATGGCAGACAGACTTTGAGGAGTCAGGAGGTGAGTTACTTGCTGCAGAATTCCTAGCCTCTGACCTACTGTTGTAGCCACTTTATTTATACGGCTCGTCCAATTCAGTTTCTGGTCAATGATAATCCCAAGATGTGGGTGATGTCACTGATGGTAATGCAATTGAACATCAAGGGATGATGTTTACATTCTTTCTTGGAGCTGGTCATTGCCTGGCACATGTGGTGTACCAATGTTACTTGCTGCTTATCAGCCCAAAGTCTGGATATTATCCAGGCGTTTCTTCGTATGGACATATTCCATTCCAGTATCTGAGGAATTATTGCAAATGATGCTGAACATTGTGCAATCAGCAGCGAACATCCCCACTTCTGACCTCTATGATGGAGGGAAGGTCATTGATGAAGCAGTCAAAGATGGTTGGGCCTAGGGCACTACCCTGAGGAACTCCTGAAGAGAGGTAGGTTCTTTACACAGAGTGGTGGGTGCATGGAATGCGTTGCCGGCAGTGGTAGTGGAGCTAGGTACATTAGGGATATTTAAGTGGCTCTTGGATAGGCACATGGATGAAAGTAAAATGTAAGGTATGCGGGGTAGTTTGATCTTAGTGTAGGATAATAGGTCAGCACAACATCATGGGCCGAAGGGCCTATACTGTGCTGCACTGTTCTCTGTTCTAAAGCCAATATGATTGACGTCCACCAATCACAATCATCTTCCTTTATAGCAGGTACAATTCCCACTAATGGGGGTATTTTCTCCCCGATTTCACTTTGGCTCCGGTATTTCCAGGCTGCTTGATGCCACACTCTGTCAAATGTGGCCTTGATGTCAAAGGCAGCTATTCTTACTTCAGCTTGTTGGCCATGTTTGAACCAAGGCTGTAATGAGAGCAAGAGAAGGGTTGCCTGGCGGAACCCAAACTCGGTTAGCACATAGGTTATTTGTTTGCTTGAGCTGCTTGATAGCACACTAGATGATCCTTTCCATTGTTTTGCTGATAATTGTGAGTATACCAATAGAGAAAAGGAGAAATTTCTTCACTTAGCCTGGCAAACCTATGGAATTCTCTGCCACGAAGAGCAGTGAGGCAAAAAAATTGAATGTTTTCTAGAAGGAGTTTAGATATAGCCTTGGCGTTAAAGGGTTCAAAGAGTATGGAAAGACAGCACAAATAGGGTACTGAGTTGAATGATAAGCCATGATCATTTTGAATGACAGTGCAGGCTATTTTGTTGGCCAGGTTGGATTTGTCCTCCCTGTGTAAAGGACATACCTGGACAATTATCTACAGTGTCAGGTAGATACTAGTATAGCTATTCTGCAACAGCTTGGCTCGGGGTGTGGCTGTTTAGGAGCATACGTCTTCAGTGATGCCTGGCACCACAGTAAGAGGCTAACATCAATCATTTTCTGTGCACTGAAAGGCTGGGCTCCCCAGTCTTTGAAGCTGGGGAATTTGTGAACCCTACACTGCAAGTGAGTTGCTCAATTATCCACCACTCAGGCCTGCAGAGCTTATAATTGATCCATTGGTTGTGGGATTTCTTAGCCCTGTCTGTTGCATGCCAAACAGCTTAAGCAGAATGCAGGTTGTTCTCTGTTGTAGCGCCACTAGGTTGATACCTCATCTTTAAGTATGTTTGGAGTTAATCTTGGCATGACCTCTTGCTCTCTTCATTGAATTGAGGTTGATTTCCTGCTTGATGGTAATGTTGGAGTGGGAGATATGCTAGGCCATGAAGTTACAGAATGTATTTTTGTGCAGATGTACTACTGCTGATGGCCACAGTGTCTCACGTGTGCCCAAGCTTAAGTTACTAGATTTGTTCAAAGCCTTGCCTTCTGGCACGGTGATGCTGCCAAACAGCACAATTGTGGATATCCTCGGTATGAAAATGGAATTTCATCTCCACAAAAATTCCCACCAATACCATTATGTATGGGCATGACTGAGACAGGTGGATTGGTGAGGATGAGGTTAAATACGTTTCTTCCTCTTGGTTCCCTCACTATCTGCCACAGTCTGAGTCTAGCAGCTATGTCCTATTCATCCAGCTTGGTCAATTATGGTGCCACTCTTGGTGTTGGACATTTGAAGTCCCCAAATCCAGCGTATCTATGTGTCCTTACCATAAACAATTCTTCCTCCAGCTATATTCAATTACAAGGCATAATGATTCATCAGCCAAGGAGTTGGGAGTATAATTCCTCCATATGTTTGACCTGATGCCACGAGACTTCGTGGGGTCCAGAGTCATGTTGAGGCTTCTCAGGGCATCTCCCTCCCAACTGTATACTGCTGTGCCACCACCTCTGATGGGCCTCTCCTACCTGTGGAACAGGACGTACTCCAGGATGGTGAAGATGGTATCTGGGATACAGTTGTACTCAAGGAATATTATCTTACAGGCAATGACAGGCTGTTGCATGACTCATCAGTGGGACAGCTTGCCCAGTACTGGCACAAGCCCCAGATGTTGGTAAGGAGGACTTTGCTGGGTTGACGGAGCTGTGTTTTGCCATTATTCGTTTCCGATTTTATATGCTGATGCCAAGTCGTCTATCTGGAGTACTGTCAGAGACTCTGTCTTTGAGATAATTCATTGAACTCAAACCCGTCTGCCCATTCAGATGAGTACAAAAGATCCCATGGCACTGTGGAAAGCTGAATTGAGGAACTCTTCTAACGTGTATCAATATCGCCAAGAAAAACAACTATCAGGCAGTTTATTCAGTTGTCATTTAAGGACTTTGTTGTGTCTACCTGTATTACAAAGTTAACTACATTTCAAAAAGCTTATGAAGATGCTTTGTAATGCAAGTTTGTTCTTTCCTTCTGCAGAACTCATGCCTCCTGCAGCCCTTTAAGTAAAATAATTTGTGGTAGGAGGTGGAAAAAAGCTTCCATTCATCCCATCTTAGTTTCTCCCGTTTGAGTTGAGTGTGCAAAACTTCAAAGATCCCACTTTCAGTAGGTCTTCCGCTACCTGTGCCTCTACCTGCTGAAAGTATGGGAAGTCAGACAGGGAGCAACTCTTTGATCACCTACTTCCACATGAAAGTATACTTAATTGACCCAGGAAATCCTGAGGAATGGGCATAAGTGAAGGGACAGAAGCTTGATGTAATGGATACTTCCTTTCTGTTTTGCTTGTATTTGCAACCTGTTTCAAAAGAGCAAAAACAAATCAGCAGCGGTGTCTCACTGATCTGAATAATTTCACAAAATAATAATGCAGTCTTCCTGTTCCTTGCAGGATTGCTAGTGGTTTCGGTGGTGCCCTGTTTGTCTACTTCCACAGGAAGATAGTTGCAATCATGAGAAAACAAAAAACCATTAATAAATTTTTGATGAAAAAGTAAGTATTAAATGCTGTCACCTTTCTTAAATTATTAAAGATTGTTTACATTTTCTATATAACTTTAAATTTCCCCTCATGGTATTGACACTCACGTTGGCTGTATTAGCAAACACAATTTCCTGGGTACAAATAGCGAGGATGTGTCAGTGGTGCTGCCCAGGATTTATTTTTGTTTCTTCAAGCCTGTTTTCTCACTCACATGTCATCAGCATTGCCAAAGGAAGTGTTTCAACATGAAATCGTGTCATTTTGGGCCATTTTTCTCTCATGTTAACCTATAACCACATTGCAGGTAAAATTTCTAAAAGCCCATAAGTAATTATTTGAGCTAAAAAATGGATTTTAATTTTAAAGTTCCAGTTATGTTTGCTGTTTTCCAATGCAACGAGACTCCTGGTCCTCCAGACATCCATAACTGTGAAGTACTGACACATCATTTAAACAGTTCTTGTTTTTTTTAAACAAGAGCTAGCTCCAAAATAGTCTACAATCCAATTCAATTATCAGACTGAATAAATTACCAATGACTTATTTAATTTTAAATATACATTTACCAATTTCCGACAGAAATAAAAATCTATTTAGCTTGCTCGTGCAAGTTGAGTGTGAGATGAGCTGAGCTGTTATTAAAAATAAACTTTGCCAGTGAAAAGGCACGTTTACATGTGTGTCATATATTTATACAGTCTGGCCAATATAACCAGCCTGCAGCTTTGACAGCTGTCAATACATGGTCAATGTGTATCTTCTATTTTCGTACTAGTTAAGTTGTAAAATAATTTGAATCAAATTACTGAAGGGAAAATGAAACAAAGTTGTCCATCATTTATAAACTTAATTCTTACTTTAGTCACTGATAGCCATCTAAAAAAGCCTTCAAAATAATCTGGAGTCAGTGGAATGGTTGAATTGCTTTGTGTCAGTTCAGATCTATCGACTATGATCCTGGTCCAAGTCAGTTTGCAAAGCTGGAGTGAAACTTAAAATCACTGCTACATATGCCCGAATGCTATGAGTTTCTCCGAAAGTCACTCGCAGTCTGATTTTTTTGCATCGAAGGTTTACTCAATTCAGAACTAATGTTTTTAGGGGGCAAGGTAAACAAAAACTTAAGTCAGTCCCAAAGAAGAGTCATATTGCACTTGAAACATTAACTCAGATTCTCTCTCCACAGATTCTGCCAGACCTGTTGAGTTTCTCCAGCACCTCATGGTTAATAAAAACAAACATGGTAGATCTTCTCAAGATATGCTACTAACTGAATCAAGTTTCATATTAATAATCATTTGGTGCAGGCTGAGAAGAATTTAGGACAGAGGTAGTGGGTTGAATGCTTTGGATATACAATGGAGTCTGATCTTGTATTGATTGAAATACCTTTCTTCTTTCTTAGGCGGTTGCTTTATCCAGCATTGGTGACATTGCTTATTGCCACACTCTCATTTCCTCCAGGATTTGGTCAGTTCATGGCTGGAGAGGTGTGTTTTGCATTTCCTTGTAATTATGTACAGATCTTTATAAAATCAGTCAATCAGCTTTTAGTCAGTCTTGAATTTTGAAAGTAAACAGGGTACAACTGCTATATTTTAGTTGTAATGGGAGAATATGATTGCACTAATTGTGATGGAACTTTCAATGACTGTATTGTGTAATATTTAAACCATTGATTATCACGTGTACTGAATATCGGTGAAAAGCTTTGTTTGCGAGCAGTACAGGCGGATTATAATAAGCAAGGATGTACAGATCAAAAAGACTTAGAGGCATACGGGTTACATTGCACAGGGCATGCACTAGGCAAGATCAATGTTAGCAAGATTAGAATTATTTGAGGCTAGAGAGTCCATTCACCACTCTAATAACAGCCGGGAAGAAGCTTTTCCTGAACATGCTCATGCGTGTGTTTGGGCTTCTGTACCTTCTGCCTGACTGAAGGGGTTGTAGGAGGCCATTACCGGGGTGTGATGGGTCTTTGATGTTGGCAGCCTTTCCGTGGCAGCAAGCTGTGGAGTCCATGGATGGAAGGTTGGCTTCCATGATGTGCTGGGCTGTGCACACAACCTTCTGTATTTTCTTACAATCCTGGGCAGAACAGGTGCCATACCAGGCTGTTGTGCACCCAGACAGTAGGCTTTCAGTATGAATCTGTAGAGGTTGGTGAGGGACCTTTATGGACGTACCAAATTTCCTGAGCTGCCTGAGGAAGAAGAGGCGTTGTTGTGCCTTCTTGACTGTCGCATCTACGTGGGAAGTCCAGGACAGGTTGTCGGTTATCGTCCCTCTATGGAACTAGATGCTGTCCACCCTCTCAACCTCAGTTTCATTTATGTTGATGGGGGCATGTTCCCCTCCTTTCTTTCTGAAGTTGACAATCAGATTGTTACTTTTGCCGATGTTGAGAGAGAGGTCATTTTCATTGCACCACATCACCAAGCCCTCTATCTCCCTTCTGTATTTTGACTAGTTGTTGTTAGATATCCGTCCCACTATGGTGGTGTCGTCAGTGAACTTGTAGATGGCATTCGTTTGGATTTTGGCAATACAGTCGTGGGTGTACAGGGAGTACAGTAGGGGGCTGAGGACATATCCTTGGGAGACTCCAGCGTTGAGAGTTATTGAGGAGGAGGTAACTTCACTGATTGCAGTCTTTGCGTCAGATAGCTGAGGGTCCAGTTGAAGAGCGTGGAGCTGAGACCAAGGCGACAGAATTTTGAGATCAGTCTGGAGGGGATAATGGTGCTGAAGGTGGAGCTGTAGTCGATGGGCAGGAGTCTGACGTAGGTGTCCTTGTTATCCAAATATTCCAGTGATGGGTGCAGGATGAGGGATATGGCATCCGCTGTGGACCTGTTATATCGGTAGACAAACTGTAAGGGATCGAGGCAGGCTGGGAGACTGGAGCTGATGTGGGCCATGACAAGCCTCTGAAATAATTTGTGATTATGGAGGTCAGAGCCACTGGGTGGGAGTCATTAAGGCACGTTACATGTGCTTTCTTAGGTACGGGGATGATGGTGGCCTTCTTGAAGCAGGCGGGGACTTCGGCTTGTCGGAGGGAGAGATTGAAGATGTCGGTGAACACCTTTGCCAATTGGTCCGCACAGGATCTGAGTGCACGGCTGGGGACACCATCCGGGCCCATTGCTTTCCTTGGGTTGACTCCCAGGAAGACCGGTCTGATGTCTGCAGCAGTGACAGAGGGGCAGGCTCCATGCTGCTGGGCTCAAACTGAGCGTAGAAAGCATTGGGTGCATCAGGGAGGGATGTGTCTTTGTCTGCTATCTTGCTCTGCTTCATTTTGTTACCGTAGTGTTGTTTAGGCCTCACCATAGGCAGTGGGAGTCTGTTTGGTAGGTTTGGGTCTCTAACTTGGTTTGGCAATGCCTCTTGGCATCCCTGATGGTTTTGGAGTTCATAACTGGGTTTCTTGTATCGGTCCGGGTCACCTGACTTGAATGCTGCACATCTGGTCTTCAGTAGGGAGTGGATTTCCTGGTTCATCCAAGGTTTACGGTTGAGGAACACTCGGATTGACTTCTTTGGTATACAGTCCGCCACACATTTTCTAATGAAGTCTGAGATGGTGGTGGCGTACTCGTCTAGTGTGGGAATAGGAACTAAAACAAGTCAGCTAAAGCAGTAATTGTGGCGGAACAAACAGAGAGGCCATATACAAAATGCAGGATCTGAACAATGGCAAAGCAATACAGCGCAGGAGTTAACTTTGCAATGTTAAAGATTTCAAAACCTGAATTGCATTCATTGTTAATAAGATAGTGTTAGTTCATTTAATTTTTATGACGTTATTGACTCGGATATTCTGGTCTCCTTGGAGATACCATGAGAGATGCACTCCATGTGCCCTTGGAAGTCCCAATGTGCAGGCTATCCGTTTATTGCATGGAAAGTTTAAATTTCCAGCAGATAATTGTGCTGCGTCTTGTATGTTCCAAAAATGCCTTCAACTCTGAATTAGAGTTTGGGAGGTTTTCAACTTACTCAAAGTAAAAGATAAATGAATTAAAAACTGCTGTAACTCTGAAGAACTATAAAGATTGACCCCACAGTTGCTCACGCTGACCGTGACCCTCCTCACCCACCACCTGACTGCTGTCCCTGCACCACTGCAACACCCTGGCACCAGATCCACACTATGGGCGGAATACTGGCTCCGTGAAGGTTGTTGAAGATCCAGTGGCTCCCATGATCAATGTGGAATGAGATGTAGCAAAACACTGGGTTTACATTTCATCCCAGGCCAAATCCAAGTATTAAAAGACTACATTACTATCAAGAGTGCACTGCTGAGCGAAACAAACCTTGAGATAGATACAGATATTTTCTAATCAGCCTGTTCAGAGCTGGTATTACGTATGTGCGGAGCAGGTGGGCTTAATCCCAGGCCTCCTGTTGCAGAGGTAAGGACACAACCGCTGTGCTACAAGAGCCCTCATGAGTCAGACATAAAATGTCACTTTAACATTAATGCACAGCAGTAATTGCTTCAGAGATAGTAGGAACTGCAGATGCTGGAGAATCCGAGACAACAAG